TGTGTAGCTGTTCAGAAACTGGGTACCAGGGAGATGACTGTCAAACAGGTGAGAATGTACTTCAGCAAATTAAAATCTGAGTGACAGAACTAAATGCAACGTTTTTAAATGACGTTCTGTTTTTGACAGGTGTAAATATGCTTATTTTTTGTTAAGTTATTTGTTTCCCTGGCGACTTTTTGGAACATTGATTTTATTATTGTCGACCCTGACCACTGTACTGTGCAAAATGTGTCTGTCAAGTGAACTTTTATTTATTTTGCCACATATACTAACTTCCATGTTCGGACAACGTGGCCATTTTCTACATTATTAGATTTAAACGAAGGTTATTCAAAAGTTAGTTCAATTCGCGAATGAATCGCGGTGTCACTATCCCTATTGTGTATTATCGAACAGAGATTTACTTCTACATCGAGAATAGTCGTAGCTACAATTCTGTTATTCTAGGTCTTACTGTAGTCAGTCTTTTTATTGCCGATGGGGTTATTTTCCAGCCGTGGGATGTGTACTAAACGTAACGTAACTTTCAGCTGTTTTTCATGATCAATCTTTGTATTATGCGTTTTAGAATTCAGATATGTGGTTTATATTGTATCGCGCATACATGTATGTTAAAGCGGGGGAGTCGTCACTTGCGTATGCGTCAGACGGCCATTGCGTGTGATTGTTCACAAACAATCGTCTATCCATGAGCCTTTGCGTTTTTAGCATGTGTTGTTATTGTCGCTTGGGACTCAATTCCCGCGTGTGTGCAGGTGACGACCCTCCTTCTTGAAATCTTCAATGTGGTTTCAGATGTCGATGAGTGCTCAGAGGGAACTCCTTGCTTGAACAACGGGCTATGTTTAAATACTGATGGATCCTTTACATGTAATTGTGACAACACTGGCTTCGAGGGACCAACTTGTGGAATAGGTGAGTTGAATCTAATTTTTGGCATTGTTGAAAGTTAATCCTTAATGTGTTGGCGAGATATTTTTCGTGATTCGATTTTTCTCTTTAGAAATTTGTAGTGCGAGTTTGTCATGTCATAATACTGGTGCATGTCCCGTTGACGGAGGTTCTACTTGTGACTGTACTGACACTGGGTATGGTGGGGATACGTGTGAAACAGGTTAGTGCCAGATAAATTAATGTTGTAGATGAGATGTACTAGTTGATAGACCTTTCCTTTCACAGTCCCACAACTGGCTTCGATATATTTGTTATAAAACGTGTCACCGTTTAAAATAGTAGCAATTGACACACTATCTTCAGTAAATGATACAGTATTGATAATATTGATCAAACTTTGTTTATTGGAAAACGTACAAAAATGTGTGGAAAGCGACATCTAATTGTCAATGGAGATTACATATATTGTTGGACCATTTTCCTATGAAATGTGGACAGACACTGGTAGTATCTGTGATCGGAGTGGTATACAAATATAGAACACAAATATATTATTCGCCAAACAACATAATTGCATAAGCAACTCAAAAGTATATTATATATTATATAACTCCTCCCAGGAAACGTGCACATGTAGATATCCAATTCCATATATACGTCGTTGTCAACACGTGTAGTTTCTTAGTTGTTATAATGTTCGGCAATATTACCATATCTTTAGATATTGATGAATGCACCGAGGCTCCACCCTGTCAGAATAGCGGTACCTGTACTAACACTGTAGGATCATACACATGTGACTGTGCTGGAACCGGATATGAAGGGACAGAGTGTGAAATAGGTATGTGCATGTAAGAAATTATAACATGATGTGGAACATGAACTGTACGCGATTGTTGTAACGTTGTTATTCATGGTGCATATTTGAGACAATATTTCAGAAATTAATTTAAATGAATTTATCTGAATGGTTAATTTTAGAAGTCTTGTGATGTGGATATTTTTTCAGGCATTGACGAATGTATTACGTCGTCACCATGCCAACACAATAGTGAGTGCACGAATTCAGTCGGATCGTATACATGTGTTTGTGAAGATACTGGTTACCAAGGAGACCACTGTGAAATTGGTGAGTATAAGCTGATATAGTAACATGGTCAACATGGAAAACACACCAGTAATGCGTTTGTCATTAGTAGGTGATTGTTTCGTCCATAGTAACCGCAAGTGCCTTTTTTTTCATTTCAGACATAGATGAGTGTACACCAAACCCCCCATGCCAGAACAGTGGGACATGTACAAATACAGAAGGGAGTTACACATGTGACTGTGCTGGGACAGGATATGAAGGAACAGACTGTGAAACTGGTGAGGACGCTTCTGTCTATCAAAACACGTAATCGTATATATACATATTGTATTGATAAACACCAATATATTGTATACATGTTGTTTCTTGTAGATATCAATGAATGTGACACCAACACCCCCTGTCAGAATGGAGGTATATGTACAAATAACGATGGGTCGTACAGTTGCAATTGTGACGACATAGGGTACGAAGGAACCAACTGTGAGACTGGTGAGGGAAATATTTTACATTTCATTACCCTTTTCAATGCCACACTGTACTGTCTTCTGACATAATTTTAAATATTCAGATCTCGGATTTTAAATTGTTAATATATATTTTTTAATGTCAAACACATACACTTCCTTGTTGCTCCGTGAAGCACATTATAACCAATTATCAACATTCAATGAAACTTGGTACATAGACGCTGTGAGATAATGCTCAGACCTTATTAGTTGTTGGTTTAAATCAATGCATATTAATGGTCTAATTTGCATAATAATTAATTTTTAGCATTTTCACTTGTTTTTCAAATACCATTTAACAGATTTCAATGAAACTTGGGACATTAGTTTCTAGCTGTAATTTGTGCGTGTTAATGACCCAATTTGCATATTAATTACCCAATTTTAAGCCATTTCAACTACCTGACACATTTCATTAAAACTTGGCACATAGGTAGTCTGCGTCAATGCTCAGACCTGATTAGTTTCTAGTTGCAATCTGTGTACATTAATTACTTACGTTGCATTTTACTTATTTTTAGCTTTCCCAACAAATATCTCAACCACTCATAACATTTCAATGAAACTTGGTACATAGGTGGTCTGGGGTAATCCACAGATCTGGTTACTTCAGGGTTGAAATCCATGCATACTAATTACCTACTTTGTGTAAATGGTTCATGTAACCTAATAAATATGTATTAACTCAGGCACTATTGCTGTCAGAGATATTTGCATTCGGTGCTGTATTGAAGGCATCCGACAAAGAATATATTATTTAACATATCAGATGACCATATATGGTCATGTGACCTGGTTAATATGCATAACATATAAATACAAATACATATAATGACATGCAACCATTGCTATAATGAAGGCATCGGGCAAGAGATATGACTGATGTATCAGATACATGGCTATGTGACCTCAATAATATTCATAACTATACTATCTTAAAGCGGGGGGTGTCGTCACCTGCGCATGCGTCAGATGGCCATAGCTAGCCATTGTTTACAAACAAGCGTCTACCCATGAGCCTTTGCGTTTTAGCGTGTGTTGTTATCATCGCTTGGGACTCAATTCCGCGCGTGCGCAGGTGACGACCCTCCCGCTTTAAGTATTGTTGCAGATAGGGACATGCGTTCTGTTGACAAGACGTCGCACTATGACGTCATTGACGTTTTTGAAATATACAAATTTTGTTCAGCTGTATTAATACTTTATACAGAAACACTAACTTAGATACTAGCAATATTCCAACTATTTTGTAACATCTCGATATTTTCTTATACAGATATTAACGAATGTTCGATTACACCATGTATGAATGGCGGTGTCTGTTCAAATATCGATGGCTCGTACTTGTGTAGCTGTTCAGAAACTGGGTACCAGGGAGATGACTGTCAAACAGGTGAGAATGTACTTCAGCAAATTAAAATCTGAGTGACAGAACTAAATGCAACGTTTTTAAATGACGTTCTGTTTTTGACAGGTGTAAATATGCTTATTTTTTGTTAAGTTATTTGTTTCCCTGGCGACTTTTTGGAACATTGATTTTATTATTGTCGACCCTGACCACTGTACTGTGCAAAATGTGTCTGTCAAGTGAACTTTTATTTATTTTGCCACATATACTAAATTCCATGTTCGGACAACGTGGCCATTTTCTACATTATTAGATTTAAACGAAAGTTATTCAAAAGTTAGTTCAATTCGCGAATGAATCGCGGTGTCACTATCCCTATTGTGTATTATCGAACAGAGATTTACTTCTACATCGAGAATAGTCGTAGCTACAATTCTGTTATTCTAGGTCTTACTGTAGTCAGTCGTTTTATTGCCGATGGGAGTTTATTTTCCAGTCGTGGGATGAGTACCAAACGTAACGTAACTTTCGGCCGTTTTCCATGATCAATCTCTGTATTGTGCGTCTTAGAATTCAGATATGTGGTTTATATTGTATCGCGCATATGTTAAAGCGGGGGAGTCGTCACCTGCGTATGCGTCAGACGGCCATTGCGTGTGGTTGTTCACAAACAATCGTCTATCCATGAGCCTTTGCGTTTTTAGCGTGTGTTGTTAATGTCGCTTGGGACTCAATTCCCGCGCGTGTGCAGGTGACGACCCTCCTTCTTGAAATCTTCAATGTGGTTTCAGATGTCGATGAGTGCTCAGAGGGAACTCCTTGCTTGAACAACGGGCTATGTTTAAATACTGATGGATCCTTTACATGTAATTGTGACAACACTGGATTCGAGGGACCAACTTGTGGAATAGGTGAGTTGAATTTAATTTTTGGCATTGTTGGAAGTTAATCCTTAATGTGTTGGCGAGATATTTTTCGTGATTCGATTTTTTTCTTTAGAAATTTGTAGTGCGAGTTTGTCGTGTCATAATACTGGTGCATGTCCCGTTGACGGAGGTTCTACTTGTGACTGTACTGACACTGGGTATGGTGGGGATACGTGTGAAACAGGTTAGTGCCAGATAAATTAATGTTGTAGATGAGATGTACTAGTTGATAGACCTTTCCTTTCACAGTCCCACAACTGGCTTCGATATATTTGTTATAAAACGTGACATCGTTTAAAATAGTAGCAATTGACACACTATCTTCAGTAAATGACACAGTATTGATAATATTGATCAACGTTGTTTATTGGAAAACGTACAAAAATGTGTGGAAAGCGACAACTAATTGTCAATGGAGATTACATATATTGTTGGATCATTTTTCCTATGAAATGTTGACAGACACTGGTAGTATCTGTGATCGGAGTGGTATACAAATATAGAACACAAATATATTATTCGCCAAACAACATAATTGCATAAGCAACTCAAAAGTATATTATATATTATATAACCCCTCCCAGGAAACATGCACATGTAGATATCGAATCCCATATATACGTCGTTTTCAACACGTGTAGTTTCTTAGTTGTTATAATGTTCGGCAATATTACCATATCTTTAGATATCGATGAATGCACAGAGGCTCCACCCTGTCAGAATGGCGGTACCTGTACTAACACTGTAGGATCATACACATGTGACTGTGCTGGAACCGGATATGAAGGGACAGAGTGTGAAATAGGTATGTGCATGTAAGAAATTATAACATGATGTGGAACATGAACTGTACGCGATTGTTGTAACGTTGTTATTCATGGTGCATATTTGAGACAATATTTCAGAAATTAATTTAAATGAATTTATCTGAATGGTTAATTTTAGAAGTCTTGTGATGTGGATATTTTTTCAGACATTGACGAATGTATTACGTCGTCACCATGCCAACACAATAGTGAGTGCACGAATTCAGTCGGATCGTATACATGTGTTTGTGAAGATATTGGTTACCAAGGAGACCACTGTGAAATTGGTGAGTATAAGCTGATATAGTAACATGGTCAACATGGAAAACACACCAGTAATGCGTTTGTCATTAGTAGGTGATTGTTTCGTCCATAGTAACCGCAAGTGCCTTTTTTTCATTTCAGACATAGATGAGTGTACACCAAACCCCCCATGCCAGAACAGTGGGACATGTACAAATACAGAAGGGAGTTACACATGTGACTGTGCTGGGACAGGATATGAAGGAACAGACTGTGAAACTGGTGAGGACGCTTCTGTCTATCAAAACACGTAATCGTATATATACATATTGTATTGATAAACACCAATATATTGTATACATGTTGTTTCTTGTAGATATCAATGAATGTGACACCAACACCCCCTGTCAGAATGGAGGTATATGTACAAATAACGATGGGTCGTACAGTTGCAATTGTGACGACATAGGGTACGAAGGAACCAACTGTGAGACTGGTGAGGGAAATATTTTACATTTCATTACCCTTTTCAATGCCACACTGTACTGTCTTCTGACATAATTTTAAATATTCAGATCTCGGATTTTAAATTGTTAATATATATTTTTTAATGTCAAACACATACACTTCCTTGTTGCTCCGTGAAGCACATTATAACCAATTATCAAAATTCAATGAAACTTGGTACATAGACGCTGTGAGATAATGCTCAGACCTTATTAGTTGTTGGTTTAAATCAATGCATATTAATGGTCTAATTTGCATAATAATTAATTTTTAGCATTTTCACTTGTTTTTCAAATACCATTTAACAGATTTCAATGAAACTTGGGACATTAGTTTCTAGCTGTAATTTGTGCGTGTTAATGACCCAATTTGCATATTAATTACCCAATTTTAAGCCATTTCAACTACCTGACACATTTCATTAAAACTTGGCACATAGGTAGTCTGCGTCAATGCTCAGACCTGATTAGTTTCTAGTTGCAATCTGCGTACATTAATTACTTACGTTGCATTTTACTTATTTTTAGCTTTCCCAACAAATATCTCAACCACTCATAACATTTCAATGAAACTTGGTACATAGGTGGTCTGGGGTAATCCACAGATCTGGTTACTTCAGGGTTGAAATCCATGCATACTAATTACCTACTTTGTGTAAATGGTTCATGTAACCTAATAAATATGTATTAACTCAGGCACTATTGCTGTCAGAGATATTTGCATTCGGTGCTGTATTGAAGGCATCCGACAAAGAATATATTATTTAACATATCAGATGACCATATATGGTCATGTGACCTGGTTAATATGCATAACATATAAATACAAATACGTATAATGACATGCAACCATTGCTATAATGAAGGCATCGGGCAAGAGATATGACTGATGTATCAGATACATGGCTATGTGACCTCAATAATATTCATAACTATACTATCTTAAAGCGGGGGTGTCGTCACCTGCGCATGCGTCAGATGGCCATAGCTAGCCATTGTTTACAAACAAGCGTCTACCCATGAGCCTTTGCGTTTTAGCGTGTGTTGTTATCATCGCTTGGGACTCAATTCCGCGCGTGCGCAGGTGACGACCCTCCCGCTTTAAGTATTGTTGCAGATAGGGACATGCGTTCTGTTGACAAGACGTCGCACTATGACGTCATTGACGTTTTTGAAATATACAAATTTTTTTCAGCTGTATTAATACTTTATACAGAAACACTATCTTAGATACTAGCAATATTCCAACTATTTTGTAACATCTCGATATTTTCTTATACAGATATTAAGGAATGTTCGATTACACCATGTATGAATGGCGGTGTCTGTTCAAATATCGATGGCTCGTACTTGTGTAGCTGTTCAGAAACTGGGTACCAGGGAGATGACTGTCAAACAGGTGAGAATGTACTTCAGCAAATTAAAATCTGAGTGACAGAACTAAATGCAACGTTTTTAAATGACGTTCTGTTTTTGACAGGTGTAAATATGCTTATTTTTTGTTAAGTTATTTGTTTCCCTGGCGACTTTTTGGAACATTGATTTTATTATTGTCGACCCTGACCACTGTACTGTGCAAAATGTGTCTGTCAAGTGAACTTTTATTTATTTTGCCACATATACTAAATTCCATGTTCGGACAACGTGGCCATTTTCTACATTATTAGATTTAAACGAAGGTTATTCAAAAGTTAGTTCAATTCGCGAATGAATCGCGGTGTCGCTATCCCTATTGTGTATTATCGAACAGAGAATAGTCGTAGCTACAATTCTGTTAATCTAGGTCTTACTGTAGTCAGTCTTTTTATTGCCGATGGGGTTATTTTCCAGCCGTGGGATGTGTACTAAACGTAACGTAACTTTCAGCTGTTTTTCATGATCAATCTTTGTATTGTGCGTCTTAGAATTCAGATATGTGGTTTATATTGTATCGCGCATATGTTAAAGCGGGGGAGTCGTCACCTGCGTATGCGTCAGACGGCCATTGCGTGTGATTGTTCACAAACAATCGTCTATCCATGAGCCTTTGCGTTTTTAGCGTGTGTTGTTATTGTCGCTTGGGACTCAATTCCCGCGCGTGTGCAGGTGACGACCCTCCTTCTTGAAATCTTCAATGTGGTTTCAGATGTCGATGAGTGCTCAGAGGGAACTCCTTGCTTGAACAACGGGCTATGTTTAAATACTGATGGATCCTTTACATGTAATTGTGACAACACTGGATTCGAGGGACCAACTTGTGGAATAGGTGAGTTGAATCTAATTTTTGGCATTGTTGAAAGTTAATCCTTAATGTGTTGGCGAGATATTTTTCGTGATTCGATTTTTCTCTTTAGAAATTTGTAGTGCGAGTTTTTCATGTCATAATACTGGTGCATGTCCCGTTGACGGAGGTTCTACTTGTGACTGTACTGACACTGGGTATGGTGGGGATACGTGTGAAACAGGTTAGTGCCAGATAAATTAATGTTGTAGATGAGATGTACTAGTTGATAGACCTTTCCTTTCACAGTCCCACAACTGGCTTCGATATATTTGTTATAAAACGTGTCACCGTTTAAAATAGTAGCAATTGACACACTATCTTCAGTAAATGACACAGTATTGATAATATTGATCAAACTTTGTTTATTGGAAAACGTACAAAAATGTGTGGAAAGCGACAACTAATTGTCAATGGAGATTACATATATTGTTGGACCATTTTCCTATGAAATGTGGACAGACACTGGTAGTATCTGTGATCGGAGTGGTATACAAATATAGAACACAAATATATTATTCGCCAAACAACATAATTGCATAAGCAACTCAAAAGTATATTATATATTATATAACTCCTCCCAGGAAACGTGCACATGTAGATATCCAATCCCATATATACGTCGTTGTCAACACGTGTAGCTTCTTAGTTGTTATAATGTTCGGCAATATTACCATATCTTTAGATATTGATGAATGCACCGAGGCTCCACCCTGTCAGAATAGAGGTGCCTGTACTAACACTGTAGGATCATACACATGTGACTGTGCTGGAACCGGATATGAAGGGACAGAGTGTGAAATAGGTATGTGCATGTAAGAAATTATAACATGATGTGGAACATGAACTGTACGCGATTGTTGTAACGTTGTTATTCATGGTGCATATTTGAGACAATATTTCAGAAATTAATTTAAATGAATTTATCTGAATGGTTAATTTTAGAAGTCTTGTGATGTGGATATTTTTTCAGACATTGACGAATGTATTACGTCGTCACCATGCCAACACAATAGTGAGTGCACGAATTCAGTCGGATCGTATACATGTGTTTGTGAAGATATTGGTTACCAAGGAGACCACTGTGAAATTGGTGAGTATAAGCTGATATAGTAACATGGTCAACATGGAAAACACACCAGTAATGCGTTTGTCATTAGTAGGTGATTGTTTCGTCCATAGTAACCGCAAGTGCCTTTTTTTCATTTCAGACATAGATGAGTGTACACCAAACCCCCCATGCCAGAACAGTGGGACATGTACAAATACAGAAGGGAGTTACACATGTGACTGTGCTGGGACAGGATATGAAGGAACAGACTGTGAAACTGGTGAGGACGCTTCTGTCTATCAAAACGAGCGTAATCGTATATATACATATTGTATTGATAAACACCAATATATTGTATACATGTTGTTTCTTGTAGATATCAATGAATGTGACACCAACACCCCCTGTCAGAATGGAGGTATATGTACAAATAACGATGGGTCGTACAGTTGCAATTGTGACGACATAGGGTACGAAGGAACCAACTGTGAGACTGGTGAGGGAAATATTTTACATTTCATTACCCTTTTCAATGCCACACTGTACTGTCTTCTGACATAATTTTAAATATTCAGATCTCGGATTTTAAATTGTTAATATATATTTTTTAATGTCAAACACATACACTTCCTTGTTGCTCCGTGAAGCACATTATAACCAATTATCAAAATTCAATGAAACTTGGTACATAGACGCTGTGAGATAATGCTCAGACCTTATTAGTTGTTGGTTTAAATCAATGCATATTAATGGTCTAATTTGCATAATAATTAATTTTTAGCATTTTCACTTGTTTTTCAAATACCATTTAACAGATTTCAATGAAACTTGGGACATTAGTTTCTAGCTGTAATTTGTGCGTGTTAATGACCCAATTTGCATATTAATTACCCAATTTTAAGCCATTTCAACTACCTGACACATTTCATTAAAACTTGGCACATAGGTAGTCTGCGTCAATGCTCAGACCTGATTAGTTTCTAGTTGCAATCTGTGTACATTAATTACTTACGTTGCATTTTACTTATTTTTAGCTTTCCCAACAAATATCTCAACCACTCATAACATTTCAATGAAACTTGGTACATAGGTGGTCTGGGGTAATCCACAGATCTGGTTACTTCAGGGTTGAAATCCATGCATACTAATTACCTACTTTGTGTAAATGGTTCATGTAACCTAATAAATATGTATTAACTCAGGCACTATTGCTGTCAGAGATATTTGCATTCGGTGCTGTATTGAAGGCATCCGACAAAGAATATATTATTTAACATATCAGATGACCATATATGGTCATGTGACCTGGTTAATATGCATAACATATAAATACAAATACATATAATGACATGCAACCATTGCTATAATGAAGGCATCGGGCAAGAGATATGACTGATGTATCAGATACATGGCTATGTGACCTCAATAATATTCATAACTATACTATCTTAAAGCGGGGGTG